AATTATATATAACATATATATAATTCATTTCCTTTTTTTAATTACAAGTTCCGTGGAGTTCAGTGTTCGCTTTGATCGCATTTCGAAGAGCGACGCCTTACATCAATAACAAAATAAAAATTGGCTACTGTTAGCTGCTATTGGAGAAATCATCCAATAATAATAATAATGCCAAAATGGCACGTGCCACGAAGCATACCGTGCTATCTACGGGCTACCGAGTTACAAGAAGATTCGTTAGAAATGCCAAAATTAAAACAAAATCTTTGTGCTCGACAGCTTTCTCCAAACGTATCAAAATCGCGAAACTCACTTCTGAGATAAACAGTTGCTGTAAACGCAATGATCGATGGATTGCGATCGAACTCGGCATCACAAATTACATAAAAAAAAAATGCCTAACTACATAGAAAACAAATTGCTTCAATATTTGCGCATCGTGATCATTTAAGTGAGAAATACCAAGTCTATATTTTTTTTTACATAATTTATAGCGGTTTGAAGCGGCTGTTTTCGGAACATTTCAACCCTCCCCCCCGATCCACGGGATGCACAGGACGCGCGGATCGCGCAGGATGCACAGGACGCGCTAAGAGCGCAGCCTTCGGTCCGATTTCTTCAGGGAGGTCACCGTGGCCGGCGCATTCATTGCGCTGGAATTCCGAATAATTGTGGAATTTCATATTCAAGTTGAACAACAACGACCGTCCACGGGACTTAATTGGCGAAAGTAATGCGAGTCGGCCAACCACCGTCAAGCTAGTTGAAGCTGTGTGACGAAACGAGTGCAGGTGGCGGTGCATTGTTGCGCAATCGTTCGTATCCCTCCTCCTCCTCCTCCTCCTCCTCCTTGTAACCAGGAGCCAGGACGAGAGTTCCCTTCGTAACCAGAAGGCTCTCCTCCCCACCAAGATGCCTTCCTCCCTGCTCGACCCGGTGAATGTTGCGCGCCCGCAAATCTGCGCGATCAGAGCACCGACACGCCGTTCTTTCGTTTCTTCCTTCGGTCTTACCTTTCCCAAGGACTCTGCTCCTGATTTTTTGCCGCACGGCTTCGGCTGCTGTGTTCGTTTTCGCAGGAACCGAACGATGGAAGGAACGCCGCGGCGCGCGGTTGACCGAACCACGATTCTTCTAGGTAACCGAAACGCGAGCAACGAGCACGGTAATGTCTCCCTTACTGACGCTCAGATTGTCCACAGAAATGGACAATTTTGGAAGAGGAGATACGATGATTATTCGAGCCTTTCGGTTTGTTTTTATAGTTATAAATTGTCAACGATTATAAAAATGAGCCGCGAGGCTCGGATAGTCTCCACTTTCCAAATTGTCCATTTTTGTGGACAAACTGAGCGTCAGTAAGGGAGACATTACTGTACAGCAAATTTTCTCCCCAAATTGACGCTCGGAGTGGGCGCAAGAGTGGACAATTCGGGAATAGGGGACACGATTATCCGAGCATTCGTCGTTTTCGTAGCTGTTGACCATCGGTAACTATAAATATAAAATAAGAAATACAAATAAATATAGAATTTAGAATTACTTATTCTATATTTATTTAAGTATATTTATATATACTTATAATATAGTAAAGTATATAAATAGTATATAATAGTATATAATATAGTAAAGTATATAAATATAACTATATTTATTAGTAATTCTAAATTCTAGATTCTAAATTATATATATAATTTAGAATTTAGAATTACTTATATATATATAAGTAATAATATAATAGTAATAATAATCTAATATATATAATATATATATATATATATATATATATATATATATATATATATATATAATATATTACTATTACTATTACTATTACTATTATATTATTACTTATGTATATAAGTATTCTAAATTCTAAATTATATATATAATGTAGAATTTAGAATTTAGAATTACTTATTCTATATTTATTTGTATATATATATATTATACATACAAATAAATATATAATATAAATAAGTAAATTATTATAAGACAGAAATAAATATAAAACCGTATCTTCTCTTCCCAAATTGTCCATTTCCGCGTACGACCGGAGAGCGTCAATGGGGGATGATTTACCGTGTTCGGTGAAAATGGTAACAGATTGTTACGACTCGAAACGATGCCGAGAGTTTACGATCGTTCGTAGGTATAGTTGCGTGAGACAGGTTGTCCCTGTATGAATAGTAGAAGCGCGAAAGACGCGTTTGTAAAAACACGTTATTCCATCGTACTGGGATCAAGTTCTGTCAAAAAAAGAAAAAAGAAAGAAAGAAAAGAACACACGCGCGCCAGTTTAAATTCCGATCGCGACTTTTCTTAAGACAGCCGGGTTTGCGAAAAAACTTAATCTAAACTTCCGACCTTATTCGTCAAGAAGTAGGATTCGTGTTTCTTCGGCGTCTAATAGCAGTTCCGAGACAACTTCGGCCGCGTTCCGAAGACGCCGGAGACCCTGGGTCCAGGACGAAAGCAGCTCGATTAACCAACATGACTTGTATAAACAAGCGGAATCCCCGAATTCCGACCGACGCGACTCGAAATGAAGATTCCCTAATCCGAATCCTGCAGAAATAATGATGCAGCTTAGGCTACGGCGAAGCTACGACGAAGCTGCGCCGTGTCGCCAAATTTTACTCGGATGAAGAGAATATTTTTTTTGTTCAGACGCCGAGCAGAGCATGATTGGAGTCACGGTTGAATCGAGAAGTTTTAATCTCTGCGAGTCGGCGAAACGGATTTATAAACGAACGATTCGATCGACGCCCGATGATATTACAGTAATGTCTCCCTAATTGACGCTCGGATTGTCCACACAAATGGACAATTTGGGAAGAGGAGATACGATTATTCGAGCCTTGCGGTTTGTTTTTACAGTTACGAATTGTCAACGATCATAAAAACAAGCCGCGAGGCTCGAATAATCGTATCTTCTCTTCCCAAATTATCCATTTTAGTGGACAATCTGAGCGTCAGTAAGGGAGACATTACTGTATTGCTCTTTCAAGCGAATTTTTCTCGAAAACGGAGCCTTAAATAAGAAAATGTTATTCCTTTTTCTCGATTTAGTTTTGCACGTGGAATCACCCTATTGCCGGTTGTACCACGATTTTTCGAACACACTGTATGAATATGCATTAAATATGACGGTTGAAACGTATCGCGGATAGATTGACTACAAAAATGGACAATTTGGGAAGAGGAGATACGATTATTCGAGCCTTGCGGCTCGTTTTTATAATTGCAGTCAATTTATAACTACAAAAATAAACCGCAAGGCTCGAATAATCGTATCTCCTCTTCTCAAATTGTTCATTTTTGTGCACAATCTGAGCGTCAGTTAGGGAGATACTACTGTATCTCGAATATTCGAAGAGTTACCAGGTTAGGCTTTTGCGGCTGACTCGATCCCTTTTGCATTTGTGGAACACAGTGGAAGCCGAATCGGTTTCCAGAGACGAGAGTCTTATTGGAAACGCATACAGGTGGAAACATTCTGTCGAGGACCGCGTCGCGCTAGTTGGATACGAATTATTAGAATTGATGGAAATCTCGTCATTGGGATATATGGTTAATATTCGAACACTTTTTAAAACGCTATGATTTTTTTAAAACTGGAAGAAACGATTTCAATTTCTTTTTTTAGATGATTGAACGACCAGTC